ACTTTTTTCTCCTCTTAAGGGTCAGAACTTGTCTTTGGTAAATGGTCCACAAACACTGTCGCCCTGGTCCCTGCGAGTCACCGCAGGCAACATCCCCGCCCACAAACAAATCAACAGCAACAAGGCGGAACGCGGCCGAACAAACAAAAAACAACAAGGCGGAATGCCGCCAAACCAACAAACCACAACAAGGCGGAGTGCCGCCAAACAAACAAAAACAGAGGTGAAAACAATTTCGCGAAAACAGCTGCGCAGACTCAAAAATATTGATACAGCGGCTTGCAACTAAAAAAAGAAAACTTTTTTATTAAAACAATAAAATTAGGTCCTGGGCATCAAATTTTTGCAGCCTGAGAAAAAGTATTGAATTTCAGACGTTTTGGACATAACTTCCATAAGTTCGATAACTATTTTGGACATAACTTCCACAACTCTTATGGTTAAGTTATACGTAGCCAAACTTTCGGATAGAACTTAAGGAACTTAACAAAGTTAAAACCATACTTATCCAAGTTAAAACCATACTTAAGATACTTATAACTTCTCTAACTAGGGGGGCCCCTTAGTGTACTACACTCGAGAAGGAGGGAGCCGCAGCCCTGTGTCGGCAGGTCAAAGCCAAGCAGGCAGAGAGGTCATTTTCCCCCAAGAGAGGAGTGACTTTCAGCCCTCGGGAACACGTCATCCCGGACAAGCGCGAGAAGAAGGACGGCAAGGATGGGAGATCCCCGACTCCGGGGAGGCAAGCAGGGAAAGCCCTGGAAGCCTTGCAAAGGGAGACACCAAGGAGGTCTGACAAAGCCGGAAGCAGTGGAAGGACCGCATCTCTCAGAAGGCCCGGAACCCTGGTCAGGCATCAGTGTCAGGCGTGATGGCGCCACAGTACAGTTTTCGAAAGTTGCATGCCTGCTCAACAGCTGATGGATCATCTCGAAAGACGAGCGAATATGTCTCCGCTGCTCCCACGAATTCCGTTGACGCCCTCAAGCCCAGGTCAACCTGGGGGTACAGAGGTTCCGAAAGGGACTGCGCTGGGGAACCCAGTGGAGCTGGTAAAGGAGTGTGTTTTGTTATTTGTTGAAAAGTTGAATTTACGCACGTTACAACTCCTGAGTTTCAAGTTTCAAGGGCACGCTTTTGGGTGACAAGAATTCCCCTAGACACATTGCGGTTTGGGAGCTGAAACATGCTGTTCTGGAGCAGTGCCTTTCCTTGGCTAAAGGCAAGTTGGTTGAGCAGGACATCCTTGTGTTGAAGTCGGTGTTGCAAAACCACAAAGCCTACAGATCTCATTGATAAATCAATTGATTCCGCCCCCCCCCCCCCCCCCCCCCCCCCCCCCCCCCCCCCGTCGCCAGCACTACAGCACTACAAAAATTCTGGACATAAGGTGAAGTCATGCGCTTAACAGTCACAGCAGTACGACGCTGGCCATGAGGTTGCGCAATACAGCACGAACCCTGCGCAATGAGGTCGCGCAATGCAGCTTCGATGCCGCGCGTGCGCATCCGGCAGCCTAACACAGCGCGTACTGCGTTCACAGACCATATTGCTCGACACCAACGAGCATCGATGCAACGCAGCCTCTTTGCAAAGCCCTGTGGAGAAACCCCTCGCGTCGCGGAATACCATTCGACTCAGCCTTATACCCTAGCGTGGCGAAATCTTACCGCATCGTGGAGCACACCCACCATAGCGTGACGTCCATCCCTGGCAGTACCGGCCGCACCCCTCCAGCGCTATCCTATAACAAGGGGGTTGGTCACTGAATCACTGCGGCTTCGACGCAACGCGTGCAGGCCTGTAATCCTGACACAGTGCGTGCAGCTGTGGGACCATAGCTGGTACACATGCGAGCGTTTACGCATTGCGACTTTTACGCGCGCCTGTTTTCACACACCTAGACACAAACGAGCGTCGACGCAACGCAGCCTCTCTGCAGAGCCGTGTGGCGCAATCTGACCGCAACGGAGTTCCTCTTGAGCCTTCTTATGCCTTCTTGTGCTCTCTGGCTTTGTTGGTTTCATCCATGATTGACCAAGGGGCACGTTCCTGAAACTCCTGAAACACCGGAGACAGTCCCTCACCAGAAAAGGTCCCGACAGCTACTCGGTCCGTCTCTACCTTTCGTGTTTCCCCGCTCAAGTCAAGTTTGGAGGCTTTGTACTTCCTCGAGGCCAGGGTTTCCAAGAGAGTTATTTAGGTGGTAGTTAGTGTGGCTAAATTAGTTTCAGCAGGGAAAAGTGCAGAAGCTGGTCTACGGCAAGAACTTCGGCCATGTCATCCGGCCATTAGCGCGTTCGCGGAAGAATGTGGACGAACTTTTTGAGCAGGCCAGTATCAAGGAAGAGTGGGACAAAATTGTTGCCCTTCGGCAGAACGAGTTGATGAAGGAGCAGGTCAAAAGCACCGGACCAGAAACAGAGGAGAAGGAGGAAGAGACTGCTCGCGCTACGATGAGGAAACCGCCCACAGAGTTCACAGAAAACTCAATGGCCTACTGGACAGCCTTGGCGAAAACTTCTGTGAGGCGATTCATACCCTTCGCAGTCATGCCTTCAACAAAGGCGCAGACGCAGCGATTGGTGTCCCAGTGTGCACTGAAGGACATCAGCCTCAACCAGGGTTCCAAGTGTTTTGGATGCAACACTATGTTTTTAAAATTAAGTTGGACCAGAATCATTTTTTGGCACGAACAGATGGGGGAGACCCTTGGCCCCAACGGCCAGGTCGGACTTCGAAGGAATCCGACTGATGCTTCCGGAAAATTCCGTTTGCTGATGCATGGTCTGCTTGTGGCTCGTTGCGCCCAGATCGGGGAGGCGACAATTCCTGCCCCAACAGAAATCAGTTGCTCGAATCCGAAATCAGGAAGGTATTTCGCTTGAACTCAAGCAAGGCTGATAGCACGGATGCCTGTGAGAAATGGTGTCAGTGGTTTTCAGCGAGGAAACCATGAGGGCCGGGAAGAAAAGGATCCGCAACAGCGGGGCTTACTCATACCAATCCAACCTGATGTTTTACACTGCGCGCACGCTGGTGCCAGAGTGTGTGCCAGAGAAGAGGAGGCCACGTTACCAGGTCTACAACACGGGAGATGTGATTGGTTTTGCGGATGCCATGGGCCCGAGGGAAGTCAGCAGGCCATTGAAGGAGAAGATCCTGGGCGCGAAGGCTGTGAAATTGACCTCATCCGAGGAGACCAGTTCCTTGGCTCAATTTGGATAATTTAATTGACGCGTGTCAGAGTTAATGAGTTAAGGCACACCCCACGCTTTTGTGACCTGAGGTTTGACGAAGGAACAGCGGGACATTCTCCAGAAAAGCCGCTCAGAGCCGGTGTTCAGTGCCACGAGGCTCCCGCACAAAAAAATACACTGACCTCCTGCAGTCATTGATCTGACCCCTGGGCCCTGGGCAGGGGAACTCTTGCAGGCAGCGATCGACCACAGAGTTCCTGTCCTTGCACTTGGCTTGTCAGAGGTTCACATCGAACAGCTGGAGGAGATGATGACAAAGTACTGCTTGCACAAGTTCGCAGAAGATGGTCACACATTGTTTCAGGAAGGGGCCGCGAAATACTTGACACCTGCAGGGACCTTAACGACCGACGCTCTGGATGCCACCCAGGAGACAGATCCCAATGACAAGGAGACTAAGAAGAGCGACAAGAAACGCAAAAAGAAGAAGGTGGAATCAGAGGAAGAGTGATGCTGATGGGGGAAAGAAGAACAAATCAAAAGGAAAGAAAGGAAGAATCGGCCAAGCCAAAATCCAAGAAGAGAAAGGAGTCCTCAAGCAGTTCGGAGGAACAGTTGTGGTAGTAAAAACACCCTGTCTAGGCTAAAAGTAAATTTCGACCAGTTCGTAGTTCGTACTCTCAACAAGCCTAAGTGCGCCAAGTTGCCCATTCCAGCGGCGCCGCCACTGTGAGGGCGGTTGGGTTGATTCGATGCCTTGCTGGGGCATCCAAGCTTTGGAGGTGGTACCCCAATTGTCACGAAAGGTAGCCCTTTAGGGGATACCTTGAGTTTGTCTTGCGAAGCAAGTGTTGGGACGTCCGGGTCTAATAATTGATCGCTCAATTCAGACCCCCCCCACCCCCCCCCCTCGAATTGATTTTTCAATCCGGCATCCCCCCCTCCCCCCCTCTAAAATCAATTCTCTCCTGGAGATCGTCTTCGTGAGCCTCTCATGATTTCAGGATAGTTGAAACCCTCTTGAACATTCAGAAAGAGTGAGTATGAAATTCTAATCACGAAAGGTGTTCTGTGAAGCACGTCAATTCTCTCCTGGGGAGCGTCTTCGTGAGCCTCTTATGGTTTCAGGATAGTTCAAATCCTATGATGTTCCGATTCAATGCCCACCGATGATCTGAGCCATGGGGCAAGTTTGTTTTCCTAAGAATCTTTTTGAACATTTCGAGAGCACATGTTTGAACATTTAAAGTGCATATGAACATATATGTACGAAAGGTCGCCTCCGAGGGGATAAATCACCATGTCGAACATTGCATTTTTGTTCCTGCCTCTCGCGTTCTTTTCTCTTCCCGCTGTCCTACCTTTCGTGTCTCCCTCCTCTCAAGTTTGTTTTTCCACTGCGGTTTCGAGAGACATGGATACGCCGCGCATCCAAGAGAAAAAATGTTACAGCCCTTTGGATTTTGTTTTGCCTGCAAATGTTTTGTTAAAGCCTGTTGGTTTGTCAGTCAGTGTGTTTTTCAATGTGACAGAACTTCGATGTTTTCGTTCAAACCGTCGTTTTGAACATTCTGTAGTTTCTCCAAGGTTTGAGTTGTTTGTGACAGCAGTGCTTCGGAATCTGAATGAATGTGTTGTGACTGTTCTTTTTGGCCTCTGCAACTGTTGTGTGGAGTAGCTTTGTTCAGCCGCGCGCTCTACTTGTCATGGCTTTGGTTCCAGATGCCGCTCAGGTTTCGGCGACGGTGCCCCAAGTGACTGTGGCGGTGAATGGCATTCCATGGGTGGGGGATACCATCTTCACGGTGCCAAGCATTTGGCGATCGCGCCAATTTTGCCAAAATGTGCTGCATAGTCTTCCATTGTGGTATTTCTCTCAGCTATTCCCATGTGTCGCTGGAGCTGCTTCTTGTAAAACATGCATTCATCGCAGATTCCATGTTGCCCCGCACTTTTGCGGAAGGCAATGTGTTTCCTCGAAGCGCCAAGTGCGCGCAAAGATGTAGTCCAGGATGGTTTTTCTGTGTAATTATTTTGATCACACCAGGCTTTGCGCATCTGATACAGCACAATCGGTTTTGCAACCCCCAGATATCGTCTCGGTGCATCGCCCAATTGCGGCCCTTTCATGGCGTTCTGGAAGGGGTTGGATGTGACGATTGCCTTTAAAGCCATTGCTGCAAGCTTTCTCGAATCTGACTCATTCCAATCATCCCTTGACATCTGGCACTCTTCATCTTCAGAATCTGAATCTGGCAACTCACATCTGACATCACCTTTTCCATCAGCTGGCCTGGGAGCCAAAACCAATGTCGGGCGGCCCAGCCCTTCAAAATCAAATCTGTCAGGTAACCACTCACCCTCTTTGTGGTAACGCAGCTGCAAGAACCGCTGACAGAGATCGAGCTGGGGACTCGCAACTGTACCCGGTACTCGGAAAGCTCTCTTGCGACGGTCTGGAAGTCCATGTTGAACCTGGTGTTGGAAGTCATGTCATGCCAAGCAAAGACTTGCATTGAAACATGAACCAAAAAACAACAGGCGCGTAAAAACCAACCAGAGCATTAATGCTGACATGCTGCCCTGTGGAGCCGTGCTTTAGAAATTTGCAGAGCCCACACAGCCACATTCTGGCAGATGCACATCTCCTTGTCTGCTCCACGAAGAAATAAACCAATTCTGACAGATGATTTTTTCGACCCTCGCCGGACACTGTAGTGTCGGGACATCTGCTTGGCTCCTTTGTCCTCATGGCCAGAGTCTGAAGCTGAATCAGCAGGATTGGAGGCACTTGTGGATCGGCCAGCATCATCCACTTCTGAGGTTGAAGTTGATGAACCGTGGCCATCGCCTGTACCTCTGGCAGGTCCTGCCAGCGACTGTCACTGAGTGATGGTGGCTGAGTCCGGATCAGGTTTGAATATCCAGCGCAGTTCTTGGTCTTGAACTTCAGAAGGTACATGTGACATTTCTTCTCTCCATTTTTTCACTTCATCTAACAAAGGCTGCAAAATGCCAACACAATTGTGCAAGCAGAATATGCAACCATTTGGCGAGCCAGTCAGTCTTGATGTTTGGAGTCTCTATGGTGTTTGGATTGCCCTCCTTTTGTTGCCTCTTCCACGCCCGGATGGGTTTACTGGTACAACGAAGTGCGGATCTGGCTCTGTATCAGTGGACTCTTCACTCATGGCTTTTCAACAGTGAAACAGCTTGGAGCCAAAAAACAGGAAAACTAAATTCACAAGCCAAGCAGACATACTTTCAAATTTCAAGACATCCTCTGAGGCTAGAACATCATATCCAGCCAACGCTGCTTCAACGCTGCTGTGCCAGGTGCCTCAAATTGCATGAACAAACACTTGATAACTTGATAAAGTATAAATTTAAATGTGAAACAGTGCAAACACATCAACCGCAACGGCGTTGTCCACAGATTTTTCCCCCGAAGTGTCAAATCACCCCTGATCAAAAATGCGCAGTGATACAAACTGGTGCCACTCACAGGTGGCTGGCATGTTTAAGATGTCACGGGAGCAAAATTCAACTGGCAACATCAGGGGCCATCGGGCATCCAGCAGCCTAATCAACTTCCATCTTTCAGCTGCTGTCAGGGGTCAACTTGATTGGCTTGTTGGCCTTCAAGCTCACATCTTGGTTGCAAACCAGGAACGCCTTCTTTGCTGTGAGCTTTGAGTGCGCCTTGTCAAAGCCGAACCGCCGCAGCCACGAGAATGCTGGGTGCAAGGCAACCTTGTCATTCATGAGGACCACATTCCTGGCTGCGTTGCCTGGGGTGTAGCTTGCAGGTTCCTTGTCTTTGGGCTGGAAGAACCACGGCTTGCCCTGCTGAGCATCTGTTGATACCTTGATGTCGAACCCATGAGTGCCATTTGCTGCAGATGGCTGGCAGACCGACACCGTGTGTCCTGTCACTGCGATGTCTGCCAAGTTGTGATTTTTCATCAGCTCTTTGACCACAATGTAGAAGGATCCTTTTTGCACCTTTTGCTCAGCTTCATCCGCACTGCCATTCCCAATGATCACCTGGCAAGGCCAAATATCAGTTGAATCTACTCGGGGTCAACAGAATATACCAGTGTGCTGGTACAATGTCAGTTTAATGCCTAATGAAAGTTGAGGGTGGAAGGTGCCAGTTAAAGGTGTCAGTGGGAAATTTGCCGAGATGTCAGTTGAATGCATTACATGAAACCTCAAGAATCTAGCAGCGCAACCTACCTTGAAGATGCTAAGGATGGAAACTGCGGAGATGTCAGAGTCACTGGAAAGTGTGGAGATGTCAGTTGAATGTGCCATGTGAAACATAGAGAATGGGAAACTATCAGTGCAATCTGCCCAGTTAAGATGCCAATGGAAACTGCGGAGACATCAGATGTCCGTTGAGTTTGTCGGACTACCAAAAGAACAGTACCGTTTGCCAGTTGAAGACCACACTTGAAATTGTGGGTTTCAACTGTCAGCGAACGATGCCAAATGAACACACACACCCCAAATGGTCACCCAACAGGCCTCAGTGAGGGTTCGGTCACCTTCAGGAAAAACAAATTGCAAGGCATTGCCAGCAGCTTCTGGGTCATCCTGCCAGATCCAAGACCAGCAAGCTTGGTACCCTTCCGCAAGATCAGATCTTCAGACTTGACGATGATGAAGGCGTGGCCATTCTCAGCGACCAGAAGCCCAACACCGCGATTGTCGAAGGCTTTCACCTCGACAGTGATTTTGTACCTGTCCAGACTCTGGACCCGTCAAAGAAACAGGCGCTGGATTCGATTCTCCATCACCTTCTTGATCATTTCCCTTCGTCGAAACAGGTCTGGGGTCTGTATTCACAGTGCCTCCACGAGCATCACCTCGAACAGATTGGAGCTTCCCAACCAAAATGGAGCCGTACTTCTCATTGCGCAGCTTCTCCATCTCATCAAACTTCACTTTCACTGATGGCGGTGCGTGTGAGAACTCTGCTTTCAATGATGGCAGCAAAGAAACCTGGGCACCACTCAGGCAGGTGACCCGGAGCTTTCCTTCCCATGTTCTGGTGCCTTCATATGCTTCCATGGCACCAGGCACTGACCGAAGGTAGCCCTTGTCAGTCTCATCAAGAATGGTGACATCAGCTTCAATGGGAGCCACGCTTGATCCATTCTCAGAGAAAAGCTTCAGCTCATGTTTCAGCCACCTGGTGCCCAGCAACTCTCTTTAGCGAGAACTCACAAGCATTGACGCTCTTCTTGTCCCGCAGAAACTTCAGCATCACATGTCTCTGCACAGGCCCTCCTTCTGCTGACATTAAGCAAGACCCCAGAGCATGGTCCCCATTGTGGACATGAGAGTCCAGGATGGTGATTTCATCATTTGGCTTCACAAGTGGAGGTGCTGCAGCAGGATTGGCTTTGCTGGTCATCATGAGCTGTTGGTACACAATCTTCCAGACTTCACCGCCTTTCTGGGCAGACCACGTCGCTGCGCAAACACGCATTCCATCTGCTCTTTCGGTTTCTGCAGCAGTGGAAATGATTGGTAGCGTCTCTGAAGAGAGCTCCCCCTCAGGCAGTTTTCCAGTTCTCACCAGCTCGGAGCACTGCGCAAAAACATTGGGCACGGACTCATTTCCCCAAAACGCGAGACGTCCCCGCATCCCAAAGTCCCATTGTGCTTGGCTTGCAGCCCTCAGACCAAGTCACATGTCTAATTGTATGTGACACAACCCTAAGCCTCCAAGAAGCTCAGTTTTGGAAGCTAGGTTTTGAAACCTAGCTTCGAAGCTCTAAAACCTGGCTTCCCCAAAAGTAGGCTTCTAGAGGTTGAAGAAGAGCTTCTTCAAAATTGAAGAAGCGCTTCTTTGATGTGCGAAGAAGAGCTTCTTCAAAGTTAGAAACAATAGTTTTTTAGACATGGAACACATGCATTGTGCAGCAAGCTACATGTTTTCCTTTGCGCATGGAGTAAGATGTCAGTCAGTGAAACATCGAAATGTTGGCCTTGCTCAGGCTCGGGATTGCCTTGGTCAGGCTCAACATTGGCTGTGTAGGGCCAAGATGGATCAAGTGCCTGCTTCAGGCTCAAGGATGCCTAGCCAAGGTTCATTGCTCATGAATGACAAAAGAACTTTCTCTGCATCTGACCCAGCATTTGGAGAGCCCCCTCTTCTAAAGAAGTAGGATTGAATTTTGCTTCCAAATGTTTCATCTTTGTAGTTCCATGTGTCTTTTGGGTTCATACCCTCACCAGCAACTTTGTCAAGGATGTGCCCCAGCAAGTGCACCTTGGGCTTGGCATGCCACAGGTTGCTGTCAGAGTCGAGTTTGGTGTGATATTTTTCCAAAGCCATGTACTGGCTCACCAGTTTTTCACCTTGCTGTGCAAGCTCTGCAGAGTTGAAGACCTCGAGGTGGTGGTACATCTTGGTGGCATATTTTGCCACCTTGTAGATGGCCTTTTGTTCAAGGTTGCCTTCGTGCAGGCTCTTCTCTCGACAAAGAGGTTCAAAAAGGACAGCAAAATGCCTCATGGCTGAAGCTTTGACCTGCAGCTCTGGTGCCTTCTGGTCTCTTTTTATGTCTTTGTATGTTAATTTGGACAATCTTTTGTCTGATGGGATTTTCAACCTCCCATACAGGTCAAGGATGTGTTCCCACAATCCTTTGATCTGCTGTTCCTTATTGGCGCCATATCCTGGCAAAAGACTGTACAATATGTTCCCTGCCACACAGGATCCAAAACCTTCATCCACACAATGCATCCAATCTGGCTGCAATGAATTGTTGTCGATGCCTGGGAGATGGAAGATTGGTGGGATTGTTTTCTTCCTTCCAACAAGATGTTTACTGATGAAGTCTGCCTTACTCAGGCTCTGCTTGTGTCGCTGCTCCTTGGAGGATGCTCTCCACTCTTCAGGGGTGCAAGCACACATCCAACACATCCCAGTTTTTACATTGAATTGTGGCACTGCCAGCCACTTACAAAAGAAGTCCCAGTCGGCTCTGATGTAAACCAGGGCAGCCTTGCTCAGGCTCTGGCCTGCCCTGTTCTTTCTGGAGTCATCTTGATGTGGCAAGAACTCTGACCCATCATGTCTTGCAGTGGGATGCTTGCCTTGGCCCAGGCTCTCCAAACTCCACTTGATGACCTCCCAAATGGCATTGATTGTTTGATCTCCAGCATTCCATTGGGCATCCAGGCAGCATATTGGAATCCTCTTGTGTGCCTTGCCCAGGCTCCCAGGGAAGTTGAATGTCAGGAAGTCCACAGTGGATTGATTCATTCTGCCTTGCACAGGCACACCATCTCCATGGATTGCCAAAGGCACCATGCCTTGTGCAGGCTCTTCCCACGCCAAGCACACTCTCCTCAGCTTGTTTTCCAACCATGTCCCCCTAGCTGGGATTGCTTCATCCTTGGCACCTGGCAAGGCCATGTACTGGCTCAGCACTTCATGTGGCAGCAAAAATGGGATGGAACCCAAAAGATTGTTTTCTTCTTTTTGTCCCACAGAGGGATTTTGGCCCAATACAAGTCACCCCATTGGTTGTCTTTTCTCATCCACCTTCTAAAGGTTCTTAAGGCATTTTTGTTTCGATCGCCTTCCTCAGGCTCAGCAGGAGCTTGATGCCCAATGACCCTGTTTTTGAAGGGATGGTCGAAGGACAGGCCTAGACCAGTTGCCTTTTGCAGCAGGCCTGCAACCTTTTGAGCAGGTAGCCTGTTGGAAGTGTGCAAGTCAATGAGGTCTTGGCCAAATTCTGCGACCTTTGATTTTTTTAAAAAATTCTCTGGTGGCTTAACCTCCAGAGGCCTCTTTGGGCTGCACAAAGCCTTGCACAGGCTCCAAAACCAAATGCTATACCACAAGGTTTCTTTGAACCCTAGCATGTTCTAACATGGGGAAAACTTGAGCCCAAAACTTGTTACACGGGGAAGAAAAACATTAGGTGAGCAACCCACTACAGCTCTGTAGGTTGTTGACTTCGAGTGAGCTCTGCAACTCCCTTTTTCATGCCTGTGCATTGGTCTTAGGTCTCAAGGAAGTGCCTTCAAGGAAGTGCCTTCTCAAGGAAGTGCTGGCCTTTTCTGTGCAGCTGGCTTTTTCAATGCTGATGGCCTTTCCATGCCTTCCAAAACCTCTGCACCAATGCAGCCACTGCTTGCCTTACCCAGGCTCGATCCAGCTGAAGAACTAATCTCCTCCACCAAAGAAGAAGGAGACAGCTCAACCTCTCCAGAGTCTTGGATGATGATTGGTGAAAGATTTTTGGAAGGTGGTGACTTAACTGTCAACCTCCTCTTGATGCCTTGCACAGGCCCTGCTTTGCCTTCCACAGGCTCTGCCTTGCCTTGCGCAGGCTGGCCATACACAGCATGCATGAGGGAGAGAACTGCTGGAGTTGTTCTCACTCCACTCTTGAGATTCTTCCATTTCCTCAAAGTCCATTTTCTCACTTCCATAATGCAATTTGCAATCATTCTGGCTTCACTGGCCTGCAGCCTTTTGCAGGCTCCTTGGAAAACCTTTTGCACCTTCTGCTTCTGAAGGTGTCGCTTCAAAAAAACTGTCAAGAAGCCATGGTGCCTTATGCAGGCTTGTTCAGGATCTGCACTCCAATTCTTGGGATCCCTGGTGTCAGGAAAAGCATTTACCAGGGCCACAAGCTCCTCATCATTGCCTTTGTCAGGCTCTACAGGCAAGCATGCAGCCATGGCACTCTTGACCAATCACTGTGCACAGTGTGCTTTGCAATTGTGATTCCTGTTGCGATTAGATGTAAATCTGTTCATGCAACCATACAAAGAAGAGCTTCTTTGAATAACAAAGAAGAGCTTCTTCAATGTTGAAGAAGTGCTTCTTGAAGGCTCCAAGAAGAGCTTCTTTATTTTTGCATGTTGAAAAAAGAGAAGCTTAGTTTCTAAGCTGCTAGAGCATCAAAAGGCTGCGAAGAAGACAGGTTTCTTAGCTTCGAAGCTTAAACCCATGCTTCCAAAAGGTAGCTTCTCAAAAGTCAGAAGACACAAAACAGGGATCGCATCTAAGAAACTGTTCTTCTTGGAGGCTTAGGGAAGCGCCATAAGTATGTGACACACTCAGTGACTCATGACTGCATTCAAGGAACTCCTCCATGGGCACTCGCAAAGGCATGAAGAAAGGCGCTTGCCGTTTGAAGCCAGCCTCACGCATCTTTCGGACAATGTCCCACTCGTCTTCCATGGGATCACATTCACTATCCTCTCGGCTGCGGTTTGGAAAGACAACACCACAGTGTTGCCCACACCTGAAACAGGAAGAAGCATTGACTGAATGGCAAAATTAAATGCCATCACAAACTGTTTCTCACAAACCGTTCGCACTTTTCTCACAATTTTGCGACTGCCAAAACACCCTGCGTTCGGCAGCGATTAGCCAATGATGGGATCAGCGCTTTGAGAGCCAAACCATTGCGTGCCTGGGGCACTCACATCTGAATGACAGCAATCTGTTAAGACCTTTGCAAATTAATACTCATTTGTGTCTGACAGCAGCAACCTGTTACCAAAAGACCTTCAAACAATAATACTCACTCATTCATGTCAAGGATCGTTCGGGATATTCAAATCCAAATGGAACACCATAAGACGCTTCCCATCAGCATGAGCCAGCGCTGGCAGGAAAGCCATCAGCCCCTCCAGGTCACCAGGCAAGCTGTCATTGCTTTCCACAGCTAACACGGGGCAGAAAAACTGCATGTGCCTGTCAACTGTCTCCCGCGCATGCTGCGCAACTTTCAGTTTCTTTTGGGTCGACAACCAATCCAGGCAGTCTCCAAGAACCTCATAGCCATCTGACACTGAGTTGAGCGTCTTCCAATCCGACTTCAACTTGGCCCCCACAGAGACGAACTTGGAAGTCCTGATGTGCGCGAGTGGCTGCTCAAGATGTTGCATTCACTGAGTGAGTTGAGTCTAAGTCACCAATCATGCTAACATGTGGAAACAAAACAAAAATTGTGCAAGATGTCAGTTGGGAAAGCAATTGAGCCAAGTTGCCATTCATCCCTCTCGGCCATCTCAATGACATCATTGACTTCTGCATCTGGCATCTCAGAAGCAGCTGTCATACACTTGACGTCAGGCAACATTGTGAGGCCAAATTCAAGCGGAAAGCTTTTCAAGCAATTGCACAGCTGCTGGTCCAACGCGTCTCCACTTTCAATGGCACTCTGGACCTCTTGGAAGCTTCGCTCACCAAGGTCCGCTCGGGCACAATGAATCACTGTTTGACGCCATGCCTGCACTACCATGCGGTAGCTCCACAGCTGGTCCATGGTGAGCTTGGCCAACTCACCCTTTGTTTCCAAGTCACTCTCGTACACGCTGACAATCTTCATGACCAAGGCTTCATGGTCTTCTGGTGTCAAATCCATGCCGAACTGCAAGGGCTTGGCCCTTAGCGAAGCTTTGCTGGATCCAGAACAATGGCACAAGACCCACAAAACCAAAAACGAAAACTAAAAAAACAACAACTGCAAAAGATAATGCGTCACCCAATCAGGCAGGCGACGTCACCCGATCAGGCAACAGTTTCTTTTGCATTGCAGCGGCGCCTCGCCGTGCGAACTCCTCAGCTTCAGTCGGCGTCATCCCCTCTGCTGGGGGGGGCTTCCTGGCCATAAATGGCGCCGGCGCCACGCTAACACTGCCTCAGTGAAAGCCGAACGACGCTCACCTCCACAGATGGACGAATGGTGCATCATATGGGGGGTGCCTTGGGAAATTACTCCAGGCATACCCTTACGTATTGGAATATTTTTGCTGGAATATTTTTCTGGAATATTTTTTCCATGCAGGTATGCCATACCCCACCGTGGAGCTTGTCGTGGAATATTTGTTTAAGGTATAAATATGTTAAAGCGCTGTCCAAACTGAGCGATCATCTCAGAGGGATCCAGAGGGGTCCATACCAAATAGAGGTAAATTAATAAGTCGAATCAAAACAGTCGATATCAATCGATGTCGTCTTTTTGAATGCAGAAAGAAACTCTTGGACACAATAAGCTTTTGGATATGAGCTTGGGATGTTTGATTTTTGATTCAAATACATCATATATTGAAATGGATCCAACAGATTTTGGCAGTACATTAGGTGAAGAGACTGGGGATTGGTCAGTTTACAAAATATATTCCATATGTAATCTAGAGGTCACATACTGCTGGAATATTTTGAGAGAGACTTGGATGTGTGTCAAGTTGTTTCTGTTCAAGATTGCACGCTGCTTCAAAGCTTTCCAAGAGTGATGTCGTGACACCTTGGACTATTTACCTAAACCTATAGGATTATTATGTTAAGATGCCAGAAATTATTCTAGGAGGTTCCCACCCTGTGGAATAATTATCCAAATCGATGTTCAACCCTCCAGGAATAATAGATAAATATTCCTGGAGGTATCG